ACCGGGATCCAGTCAAGCAATGTCTTTTCTGCCCTAGTACTCCATGTTAGTCTATACTCTTTCAACTCCTCCTCCTATTCACACGATCTCCTCCATATCACCAACCCTTGCACTGACGTCCCACTCGCCGCTTCCCTTTCGGCCTGGTTCCACTCGAGCAATGGCCTGACGCGCGCGCGATATCACCCGGCGGTCTCCTCAGCGAGTGTCCAATTCATCTCCACTTTCTTCTGCATATTTGTTAGGCGATTTGTTTTGTTTGTTCCCATAGTTCCTTGATGGTGATTCTTTTTGGCCCGGCCATCTGATCTTCAGTATAGAGCCAGCGAAGACAGTTGTTGATAAAGGTCTGCAACAGCCTGTTGGAAATATTCTTTGTGACCCGCTCGCCAAGTTTCTGATCCGTATAGAAGAACTGACTGACTTGACGTTTGTATTGAAAATCCGACTGAATTTTGTTGTTGATGCTGGCTGAGTGACGAAGATTTCTAGATCGGTTTCAGGTTGATGATGATGATGTGTTTCTCGCCTTCCCGATTTTCGCTCGATTTGACACACTCGTCCGTTCCGACTTCCTGTAGTTGAGACAATGCTCCCTAGATAAGTGAATTGAGGAAGTGACCTCTTTCAAATCCCTCCCGTTGATGGTGGTTGGCGCTGGATATTGCTGTTGTTGTTGTTGGTTGGCTATTTTCATAACCTTCATCTTGTCTATGTTTACCTGGAGTCCTGTATTTGCTGCTTCTTCAACCAGTTTGTCAGTTTTCGCTTGTAAGTCTTCGATTATATGTGAAATCAAACATAAATCATCCACGCGCGAAATCCAGGTCTTCTAGGCTCTTCACGTCGGTCCAGGATATTCCTGTATTCTCGTTTTCCACTGACTGACGCATAATCCAGTCTACCACAATTAGGAATATCATTGGTGATAGTAAGCACCCTTGTCTGACTTCTGTGTTTACTCCAAACGCCTCGCTGAGTTTTCCGTTGTGCATCATTTGACATGTTCCGTTGTTGTACAGCTGTTGAATAAGGTTGATGAATATTTGGGGTACGCCATAGTACTCGAGTAATTTCCAAATTACTTCACGGTCAACGCTATCGAAGGCCTTTTCGAAGTCTATAAAGTTAAGGCAGAGGTTTGATTGCCATTCCATACTTTGTTCTGTGATGATGCGTAGAGTTGCAATTTGGTCAGAACATGATTTGCCTTTCTTGAATCCAGCTTTTTCTGGTCGGAGTTCTGTATCCAGTGCTTCCTTTATTCTCTCCAGGATGATGCGACTCAGGATTTTACTTGGCGTCGACAGGAGCATGATTCCTCGCCAGTTCTTGCAGAGTGAGGCGTAAGTCGCCCTTCTTTGGTGGTTTCACGAGGTAACCTTTCCTCCAGTCAGTAGGCACCTTTCCCTCCCAGAGTGACTACTGGTTCAGTTTATTATATGGCTATATATGCTTAAAGATTATTAAGAGATGCAAGGGAAATGTTGATAATGTAGATATTTGAACTAATGACTTATATTTCTGTTATCTGAGCAACAGGATTAGAATTAGCAACTTATTTAGCAGACAAGTATTTGACAAGTACATTTATATAATAATAATAATCCTTTTTTCTGGCAGTTGATATTTCCTTCGACTTTTGAAGTTTTGTTTTTCTCAATTCTTTTTGACTTTTCCTACCTCAGTTTGTTGTTTTGCATTCCACCCAGAAATGATACGCTTGTACTTTATAATTAAGAAATATTCCAGTGACAGTCAGGGATTATGATTTATGTTTCAGATATATGCACATATATGGTAGGCTAAAGAAATCGAAAGATTTTTCTTAAATCAAATTGGCGGCACTTTAGGAATTAACAAGACAGACAAAAAAATAACAAAAACAACATCAACGAATAGTAATATCCTACACGTAGTTTGTTTGTTTATAAGCATCACTCTTACTAATTAATTGAATTATCGTATTTATTCAAAGCAAGTGGGAAAAAACCACAGGTGGAAAATTCAAGTATACTAGTGTACTTGTATTTTTCTTCACAAACCGCTTAATCATTCCGTTAGACACGCATCAACCAGGTGATTACTAACATTACGGTATAAGCATGTGATACTGAATTAAGCCTTGAAATTGATAAGTGAAACCATTAAAACACGAAAATATTTATTAGAAACGGGAAAGAAACACGAGATTAACCCGTTCACGTATAAAAGAATAAATATATCTGTGACCTTTGTTAAAAGTGAAAAGGTGAGCAGACTTAAACTATGAGTCATTTTGAGTATCGTTGTCAGTAAAGCGGTTTTGATCCCTATCATGTCACATCACCAACTGTAAACAGTGTTATCTGGTCAGGCATACGCTCATTATTATTATTATTATTATTATCATATCCTTTAATTCCTAGAGAAACAAAGGGCTTCAGCCGCGCGTCTCCATTGCCTTCGGTTTCCTGCCAACTTTTCAATCCGCTCCAAGTCTGTCCACATGCTTTCATCTCCTCCTCGCATGACCTCCTCCAAGTCAACCCACCCTTCCACTGACGACCAAATCGCCGCCCCCTTTCCCTTTCCGACGGGTTCTACTCGAGCGATGGCTTGTCTAGTGATGTCACTCACTTGATGGTTTCCTCAGCGTATGTCCAGCCAATCCATCTCCATTTCTTCCTGCCTATTTGTTTCACAATCGGTTCCTGCTGTGTTGGTTCGCTCATTGCCAGAGATCCCTCCCTGTTCCTGATCTTTTCTGGCCGGCCATCTGATCTTGAGCGAAGTATTGAGCGAAGACAACTGTTAACGAATGTCTGAAGTTTGTTTGAGATGCTCTTTATGACGCGCTAGTCAAGTCTCTGATCCTATAGCAGCACTGACTGACTTCACATTGGAGTTGAAAATCAGGATGGATGTTATTTTTGATGGTGAGTGCTGTTGAACTCCACACAGACTTGAACGAAATGAAAGCTTGTCTTGCTTTTCCGATTCTGGCTTTGATATCCTCGTCAGTTCCACTGGCCTGTAGTTGAAACGATGCTTCCCAGGTAGGTAATGGAGGTTGTTTGTTTCAGGTTCCTCGCATTTATGCTGATTGTCGTCTGTTGTTGTTGTTGTTGCTGCTGTTGGTGTTGGCCAGGAATCTTGATCACCTCTGTTTTATCTATGTTCACCTGAATGGTGTCCTATCTTCTCTGGATGCTTCTTCTGCCAGCTTGTTGCTTTTCACTTGCATACCTTCCAGTTTGTGGGAAATCAGAAATATATCATCTACGAAGTCCAGATCCTCCAAGTCTCTTTTCGTGTGAGTGCATTTCATGCCTGTTCCCTCGTTGGTTGCCGTCGTCTGTCGCATTATCCAGTCTACTGCAATCAGGAAAATCATTGGCGATAGTAAACAGCTTTGTCTCACTCCCGTCCTCACTTCGAAGGCTTCCGTAAGTTTCCCGTTGTGGATTACTTGGCATGCAGCATTGTCGTATAACTGTTGGATGAGATGTATAATTGTCGATGTGACCCCGTAGTAGCGAAGTAGTTACCAAATCACCTCTCGATCGACGCTGTCTGCTGAAGGCCTTGTCAAAGTCGATGAAGTTGAGTGAGGTGGAGAGGTGACTGCCATTCTAAGCTTTGCTCAATGATGATCCGTAGAGTGGCGGTTTGATCAATACATGACTTGTTTCTCCTGAATCCAGCCTGCTCCGATCGAAGTTTTTCATCCAGGTTAGCTTGTTTGATTCTCTCCAGGATGATGCGGCTTAGTATTTTGCTTGGAATGGACAGCAGCATAATTCCTCGCCAGTTTTTACTTTGACTGAAGTCTCCTTTCTTTGGTAGTTTGAGTAAGTATCCTTTCTTCCAATCCTCGGGTACTTTGCCCTCTTTCCACACCTTCTTCAGCATTGGCGTCATCAAGTCCGCTGTTGTCTCTGGGTCTATTTTCAAAGCGTCTTCTGGGATTCCATCTGGTCCTGGTGCTTTCCCAGCTTTTAGCATCTTGATTGCATTCAGAACTTCTGATTTTGTCGAGGGATCAATGTTCACTGGTAGTTCTGCTTCCGTTTTTGGTATTTTTGGGCGTGTTGTAGGTGGCGGACGATTTAGAAGTCCTCGTAGAAAAGCAAAAATCATTTACGGTTGTATTTTACATCACGGCGGTCTGCCTAAAACTTTGGCTACCAAAAAAACCTCCATCAATATACCAAATATAAATTCTCCTATTCAGTTTGTTTAAATATGGTAAAATATAACCTCTAATAGTATTGTTTACTCTGGCGAGTATTAAGAACATTTACAAAATTCTGATTAGTAACTATCTACCGAACATGTGAATAAACATTGTTTTCGATGGCGACTTCATCCCAGAACATGAGATGACCATTCCTGAGTGGTGTTCTTAGTTCAAAAAATGTACTCCTGAATTTTTTATAACCGGTATTCAACAAAATGTCGTCGAGTATTTCTCGAAGAAGGAAATGAAGAGATATGATAGTGGATCAGATCAGATAGGGCTGTGTCCCATGATCTACCATCAATTATCCATTTATTTGAAGACCCTGGGTGAATAGAAAATATGATGCAATAGGCTTCCTTTGCGTCCCCGATGGAAAATATGGCTTTCGCTTTGAAGTTTCAGCAGTAGTGGTGTTTTTATGGTGTTGCTAGCCTGACGCCCAACCTTACCTCTTTGTCGGGATTGTGACTGGCTAAGGGAGGTGAAGGTGTGCGGCGGCCGGGTATCGAACACCGGACCACGCGCATAGCCGGCCAGCTCTCTACCGTTGAACCGTTGAAATACGCTGGGAATCCACCTCAGGATAGAACACTGTCCAGAATGAAGCTATTATCATCATTATTAGTATTTTAGATTTAATCAAATGGAAACATGATGCCAGTGAAATATGAAACATCATAAGTCCATCCTGAATTTCGGACAATCGATTACAGGCGTTATACAATTATATACATATCTTGAAATAATAGAAAAGATTTGTAACTCAGGTGGATGATTTGGAATTGATAGTGTTCTCTGAGCTCCTTGGTTTAATTGCGGAGCTTTCATCGTCTTTCTGGACGACATCTTCAGCGCAGTATTTAGGATAAAGTGAAATGATTTAAATTTCTTCATGAGTCTCCCGGTAACCATCTTTAGATATTTATTGACCGTTTTCTATTGATTGGGATTTTAAACTTTCTGATCACCTGATTTACTTCTTATTAGTTGGTATATTTCATCTATATTAACGTGTTTATTAATTGCGTTTTCATTTGAGTACCAGGCTTCTAGGAATTCTCTGGCACATTTGGTGTTTCCTCTGTTTAAGATTTTGACATTATCCCAATCAAATTGATGTCCATGATCGTCTGAATGTATTGATACTAAAGAATTTATATCATGTCTTTTCACGGCTGATTTGTGTTCCTGGATTCTTATTCGAAGGGGACGCCCACTTTGGCCGATGTAATGTTTGTTACAGTTCACACAATTTATTTTGTAAATGGTGTTAATTTTATCTCCCTTTTCTATCGGATCTTTTGGTTTGCATAAGATAGAATTAAGCGATTCAGCTGGTTTGTGTGCTACATCTATATCAAACGGTTTCATTATTCTAGCCGTTATTTCAGAGATGTTTCTGATATATGGTAGGATGAATTGCTTTTTGGTCTTTGGTGATGGTTCTTTGTTGGTGCTTTCATTCGATTTTAAACACTTTTTGATGAAATTTTTTGGATAACCATTCTTCTTGAACACCGTTTGTAAGTATCTTTCTTCCATTCTTTTCAACTCTGGTGTGCTACAATGTGTTTGAATTCTTCTAAACAATGTCTGCACACAGTTTCTTTTGTGAGTAATTGGATTGTTGCTAGTATAGTTGAGTATTTGATCTGTGTGCGTTGACTTTCTGTATACTTGTGTTTCTAAATTTCCTGTGTTGGTTCTCCTGATTAAGACATCTAAAAATGGGATTTTGTTATCTAACTCTTCTTCTCTTGTGAATTTGATGTCTTCAAATATGTTGTTTATTAATTTATGGGTATATTCTAAATCATTTCTCTTAATTATTACAAATGTATCATCAACGTAACGTACCCAGATTTTCGGTTTAATTATAGGTAGAGCTATTAATTCTAATCTTTGCATAACGGCTTCAGCTATTAATCCTGATATGGGCGATCCCATTGGTGCTCCCTTTATTTGCTCATATATTTGAGTATTAAATTGAAAGTATGTTGTAAGGCATAATTTTATGAGTTCTATCCAAGTTGAACATTGCGTTTTTATGTTTTCATCACTATAGAGTAATCGTTGCATAGTTTCTGTTGCTAGTTTTGGACTAATCGAAGTATATAATGCTGTGACATCAAAGGACACCATTATTTCATTGTCTTCTACCTGAATGTTTTTGATTTTCTCTAGAAATTGAATTGACGAATTGATAGAATGGTCGCATGATTCTGTTAGGTAATTTAACTTCCTGAAAAGTTCTCTAGATAGATTATATGTTGGTGTTCCTGGAAGCGAAACGATTGGTCGTAAGGGGATGTTCGGTTTGTGTAGTTTTGGTCTACCATAAAATCGAGGTAAAATGGGTCCGTTAGATCTCATTCGCCATTGATCTTGTTCTGTAATTTGTCCTGATTTCGTTAGTTTATTTAACGTTGTTCTGATTTTGTTATCGAATGTTTGTATAGGGTTTTTTGTCAACTGTTGATATACATTATTATCTTTGAGTAAATCCTCTGCTTTCTTTATGTAGTCTTCTGTGTCCAGGATTACTGTTGTTCTTCCTTTATCAGCCGGTAGAATAACTATATCTTTTCTATTCTTTAGTTTCTTCAATGCATTTTGTTCTTCAGTGCTAAGTTGGGAATTATGTCTTTTCTGTTTGAGTAAAGGTATGATACGTTGACGTATTTCTTGTTGTACTTCCTCATTTAATTTTGATAATTTGAATGATGATTCTAATGAAGCACAAAAATCTGTTACTGAAGCGTCACCAGTATTGTAGTTGAGTCCTTTCTGAAGAAGTTGTTCTTCGGCTTTCGATAATGGCTGTTTCGATAGATTTACTACGCAATCGTTTAGAGTTTCTTCAGATGGTTGTTTGGATATCTTAGCTAGTTTGTCTCTGAGGAAGGCTCGTCTTCGCTCCTTGTGCCGTTCGCTTATCAATTTAATGGCAGTATTTAATGTTGACAGATGTTCTGGGGTAAGAGTATGTTCAAGCTTCTCTTTCTGAAATCTAATCATATGCTGATATTTTTTAATCCTATTGTGTGCATCCGTGATCATTAATCTCACCATTTGTTTTCCATGTTGTTTGGCTAACTTCCAGCCTAGAGGGCAGTTGATTGGTGGTTTATATCTGACAGAAGCTGGTAGGGTCTGCTGGCGGAGACATTCATGAAGAAAAAATAATTGCTCTTCTGTAGAAACTTGCCGTTTAGCAAAGTCTTCCCATTTTCGACAGAAAAGAAGCGTTTCACGCTCGTAAGATTTTGAAATAATAGAAAAGATTTGTAACTCAGGTGGATGATTTGGAATTGATAGTGTTCTCTGAGCTCCTTGGTTTAATTGCGGAGCTTTCATCGTCTTTCTGGACGACATCTTCAGCGCAGTATTTGGGATAAAGTGAAATGATTTAAATTTCTTCATGAGTCTCCCGGTAACCATCTTTAGATATTTATTGACCGTTTTCTATTGATTGGGATTTTAAACTTTCTGATCACCTGATTTACTTCTTATTAGTTGGTATATTTCATCTATATTAACGTGTTTATTAATTGCGTTTTCATTTGAGTACCAGGCTTCTAGGAATTCTCTGGCACATTTTGTGTTTCCTCTGTTTAAGATTTTGACATTATCCCAATCAAATTTATGTCCATGGTCGTCTGAATGTATTGATACTAAAGAATTTATATCATGTCTTTTCACGGCTGATTTGTGTTCCTGGATTCTTATTCGAAGGGGACGCCCACTTTGGCCGATGTAATGTTTGTTACAGTTCACACAATTTATTTTGTAAATGGTGTTAATTTTATCTCCCTTTTCTATCGGATCTTTTGGTTTGCATAAGATAGAATTAAGCGATTCAGCTGGTTTGTGTGCTACATCTATATCAAACGGTTTCATTATTCTAGCCGTTATTTCAGAGATGTTTCTGATATATGGTAGGATGAATTGCTTTTTGGTCTTTGGTGATGGTTCTTTGTTGGTGCTTTCATTCGATTTTAAACACTTTTTGATGAAATTTTTTGGATAACCATTCTTCTTGAACACCGTTTGTAAGTATCTTTCTTCCATTCTTTTCAATTCTGGTGTGCTACAATGTGTTTGAATTCTTCTAAACAATGTCTGCACACAGTTTCTTTTGTGAGTAATTGGATTGTTGCTAGTATAGTTTAGTATTTGATCTGTGTGCGTTGACTTTCTGTATACTTGTGTTTCTAAATTTCCTGTGTTGGTTCTCCTGATTAGAAGATCGTTTTATTATGAAAATCAACACGTATTTATACATATTTCAGACAACATTATTATAGACAAGCGCAGTCATCTGATTGGTTGTTTAGGTAGACAAACGCAGGCTTCTGATTGGTTGTTTCGGGATTCCTTGACAAACAGAGTTCTCTATCTGCGAATCATATTTTGCCACGTTAACTTCGCTGTGATTGGTTGTTGACTCAGCCTTGTTCACGGCCCATATTAGTGACCTAGACCTTAACGTAGATTAGTGCCAACCAATCGGCTAGCAGCCTGTTTTATAACAAGCCAATAACTTTTACGAAGTAAGCTGAGAAAATTGCGTAAACATGAGTAGATAATTAACCAAAGGTACGAGATTATAACGAGTATACATTTAATGTTGGAAAATGAAGCCAGTGCATCATAGTAAACCCATGTTAGAAAAACCAAACGTCAAATGTGAAATATATTTTCATTTTTCATGATTTATATTTATATCAGTCATAATGGTACATTTGCGAAAGAGGTATGCGACTCTGAAAGAAGCACTGTAGATTCCAGTATTACAGTGGATTCAACGCCACTTTCTGGAATGACTGCCTGAACTTGAGTTTTCTGCCGGAATCGGGTACTGTTTCGTTTGATTCTTGTAGTCAGGGTTTTGATCTTACCTTGTTGGAAATATTTTAAGCGCTTCTTAGGTGAATAAAACTTGCAGGATTTCATCATGAGCTGACATTTGTTAGAGAACCATTGAAAAACCTGCAGAGAGTACTGGACAGCTGTTCCGTCCTAGTTTGGGACTCTTCAACAGTATGCACCCACCGGGGTTCGAAGCTAAGACCTTCTGGTTAAAAAGTGAGCCCGTATACCATTAAAAAAATATGTTTGTTCAATTAATTTTGTTGTACAGTACGTATTTCGTACCTAAGAAACTTTTAGACTGTATAGCTGGCAGATGCCACTGTTGAGATAGCTTTGTATTTTTGTTAGAAGTTATGTAATACGACAGAATCTATTAAGTAGAAACGTCTTTCTATATTGTTAGAATATAGTTTTGGACTGTGAGTTACTCACAGTAGTCTGAGAAGCTACACTGAAGAATGCATCGACTGGCTTTCTGAGTTCATGTCAAAAATACCTGGGTTTATGTAGTTACAATTATGAAGAATGACAGTTTACTTCAGTTCACGTTCATGTGAAGTAAACATAGGATACTTTAACCGCATGAAACAGTCTGTTTAGCCCAACCTCTCTGTAATACTGTGTTGTGATGTTACAATCAAATAAGCGTATATACTCATAAATTCTCTAGAATAAAATTTAAAGCAGTGCTATTGAGGATAACAATGTGTGTGTGGTTGCAGGTACCAGGTGATCGTCATTTACTCTTCTCTTAGTTTGGCCACAGGCATTATTCTTTAGATAGTTGGTAGAGGGATAAAATTACGCTTGGTTTAAATTCAACTGTATGAGAGGTTATTTTGCTAAAAGTAACTTAATCCTACAAATGGATGTTTTGACGTATTGGTGCAATATTTTGGAGCAGTTATAAATTACTTAAAATAACCCCAGAGTGTTTCAGAAAAAAATCAAAACACGACGTTTCTGAACGTTCCACTGAATAAGCCACAGCTTCTTCAGCACGATTACTTAGATTTTATTATTCATTGAAATATATATATAGTCAGAAATTATATCAACTGAATTAAACTCCCTTGAAGGTCACTTGTCAGTTGACATTTGTACCGGTAGAAGAATGTAATCAGTCATCACATATTTTGAATGACTAATGTAAAATTGTTTTATTGTTCTAAACACATTGTGATTGTTTTAAGTAATTTATGATAATTTATTCTGACCAGCTGCTCTAATTATTCCAGGAAATCAATAACTTCTACAGTCTGGATACTTATAATTTTGGAGTAGGATTCTTTGAATTTTTTGTGAAGATTAATAAAAGTGTAGTTTGGTCTCTATTGTTCAAAGATTCAAAAAGTAGCGTAAATTTAACTTGAGCTAAATTATGTTTCCGAACGAATCAGCTTTTTATAGTGAGGCCAATTAGGCGGTGGACAATATTTTTTGTATAACATGTTCCAGTGAAAGTTCAGTAGATGGCTAATACTTCTGTCTGTCTGTCTGTTTTCGACATAGAACTTCGCACCGATGTGTAGCAGTTCAAGTCGCCACTCTCCCTCTTTTTAGTACACAAACCAAGAGGAGAAAATAGAAGGAATGCATAATAGAGACAATAAACAGAGGTGTGAGACAAGGAATAGTAATAACGGAGAACAATATAGTTTCATTGGTAATCACAAGTAACAAGGAGTGGATGCATCTACACCAGCCATTGAGAACGATTTTGAGCCATGTCACCAATTGTTTCCGACCATTGGTTTTTACCGTCCCGAGGACCACAACCACGAAGTCTACACCTTCCCACATGGCTTAGACTAACTGTCGTAGATTTGATTGACTGGTGCCATGTTTTGGTTAGACCGCTGCTAGCTTTTTTCCAGCCTGACCCAGTATCCGCTAACATTGCTCGTCGAGGAAGGCGATGACTAAGCATACGTATCACATGTCCTAACCATCCCAGTCGATGTAATTTTACAGCCTCGTCGATTGATTTCCCCTCCTTACCTAGCACTCGACCGAAGTCTAACCTCCATACTGCTCACATTATTATAACACCTAACCCACACGGGAGGTCGAACGCAGGCATCTATGATCAAAGACGGCTAATCGTTTCATGTCTTCAACTTTCAATGGCCAGGTCACACATCCATAAAAGAGGACAAAGCGGGCTGCTGAGCAGTACACCCACCCTTTGGTCGATAGTCGAACATCTCGTCTACGCCAGAGTCGGCGTAAACTGGCATATTCGAAGCTAGCCCTCTGTATCCGTGATGAGATTTCGTCAGAGATCAACCCGTTGGGGCTAATGGCACTTCTCAAATAAGTGAAGCGGCCAACGTGCTCTACCACTTCACTCCCTATTTCTAAGCTAGGAGTCAGTGTAGTCCAGTCCTTTAACATCATCTTGCATTTGGCGGGAGCGAATCGCATGTCAAAAATTCGTAGATTGCAGCTCAAGGTGTTTAGAAGACTCTGTATTTC